TAGATTTAAGAAGACTAAAATACCAAGCATCTTTACCAACCACAATGGTATGGAACAAGAAGTCAATTATAAGAAGAAAACTGAAAAATTCACAAATATGTGAAGATTAAAAACATTATATGGAACAACCAATGTGTCACTGTAGAAATTAAAAGAGAAATTTAAAAATTCCTTGAAACAAATGAAAATGGAAATACAACATACCAAAATTTATAGAATGCAAAAAGCATTTCCAAGAGGGAATTTCATAACAAATGCTTACCTCAAGAAACAAAAAATCTCGAGCACCTAACTTTACACATGAAAGACTAGAAAAAGAACAAATGAGACCCAAAGTTAGTAAAAGTAAGGAAATATTTGAGCAGAAGTAAATGAAATAGAGACCAAAAAGACAATAGAAAAGAAAAGTGAAATGAAGAGCTGGTTCATTGAAAAGATAAAATTGACAAACTTTATGTAGAGAAACCAAGGAAAAAAGGGAGAGGGCTCAAACAAAATCAAAAATGAAAGAGGAGAAAGAGACATTACAACTAATATAGAAATAGAAAGCATCATAAGATATTATTAGCAGTTATACACCAACAATTTGGACAACCCAGAAAAAAATACATAAATTCCTAAAATAGGAAACCTGAACAGACCAATATCTCATGAGGAGATTCAATTAGTAATCAAAAACCTCCCAACAAACAAAGGTCAGGACCAGATGGCTTCACTGGTGAATTTTACCAAACATTCAAAGAAGAATTAATACCAATCTTTCTCAAACTCTTCAAAAGAATAAAAGAGGAAGGAACACTTCCAAACTAATTTTATGAGGCCAACATTACCCTGATACCAAAACCGTACAAGGACACCAGAGAACAGAAAACTACAGGCCAATAAACCTGATGAATGTAGTTGCAAAAATCCTCAAGAAAATATTAGCAAGCCAACTTCAATATATTAAAAAGATCATAAAACATGGTCAAGTGGAATTTATTCTAGCAATGCGTGGGTGGTCAACATCCCGAACAATCAGTGTGAGACTGCATTAGCAAAATGAAGGATAAAAATTGTATCATCTTGGGCACCTGGGTGGCTCAGTCGGTTGAGTGTCTGCCTTCGGCTCAGGTCATGATCCTGGAGTCCCGGGATTGAGCCCCACATCGGGCTCCCTGCTCAGCCAGGAGTCTGCTTCTCCCTCTGCTCCTCACCTCTCTATTTTTAAAAAATTGTGTCATCTCAATAGATGCAATAAAAGCATTTGGTAAACTTCAGTAACCATTTATCCTAAAAATTCAACAAAGTGGGTTTAGAGGGAACATACCTTAGCATAATAAAGGTCGTATATGACAAACTTACAGTGAACATCATACTCAATGGTAAAGAGCTGAAAGGTTTTCCTTTAAGTTAAGAAACAAGACAAGGATGCCCACTCCCAACACTTCTATTCAACATTTTATTGGAAGTCCTAGCCAGAGAAATGAGGCAAGAGAAAGAAAAGGCATCCAAATTGGAAAGGAAAAAGTACAACTGTCACTATTTGTGTATGACATGATATTACATATAATAAACCCTAAAGACTCCACCAAGAAACTGTTAGATTCAATAAACAAACTTAGCAGAATGGCAGGCAACAAAATCGATATAAAAAAAATCTATTGCATTTCTATATACAAGCTGTCAGAAATTAAGAAAACAATCTCATCTCACAATTGCATTAAAAAGAATAAAATATCTAGGAATAAATTTAACCCAGGAAGTGACAATCCTCTACAGTGAAAACTGTAAGACATTGATGAAACTGAAGACAACACAAATAAATGGAAAGATATTCAATGTTCATGGATTGGAAGAATTAATGTTAAAATGTACATATTACCCAAAGCAATCTACAGATTCAGTGTAATCCCTAATAAAATTCCAATGGCATTTTTCACAGAACAAACAATCCTAAACTTTGTATGGAATCATAAAAGACCCCAAGTATCCAAAGCAGTATGGAGAAAGAAGAACAAAGCTGGAAGCATCTCACTTTCTGATTTCAAAGAATATTTCAAAACTGTGGTGATCAAAACAGTATGGCGTTGTCATAAACACAGACATATAAATCAATAGGACAGAACAGAGTCCAGAAATGAACTCACACATTTATGGTGAATTAGCTTATAACAAAGGAGCCAAGAATATACAGTAGGGAACAGGACAGTCCTTTCAATGGTTATTGGGAAAACTGGATCAGCATTTTACATGTACATAAAAATAAACTCAAAAACTTGAATGTAAGACCCGAAACCATAAAATTACAAAAAGAAAACATAGGTGGTAAACACCTTAGCATCAGTCTTGGTGATGATTTTTTGATCCGACTCCAAAAGCAAAGGCAACAAAAGCAACAATAAAGAGGTGGAACTACATTAGACTAAAAAGCTTTGGCCCAGCAAAGGAAACCAACAAAATGCAAAGGCAGCCTACTGAGTGGGAGAGATTATTTGCAAATCATATAGCTAATAAGGGGTTAGTATCCAAGATATGTGGAGAACTCCTACAACTCAACAGCAAAAAAAACCTAGCAACCGGATTAAAAAATGACCAGAAGTTCTGAATAGGTATTTTTCCAAAGAAGACATACAGATGGCCAAAGATACATGAGCAGATGCTCAACATCCCTAATCATCAGGGAAGTGCAAATCAAAACCACAGTGAGGTATTACCTCACACCTATTAGATTCGCTATTATTGAAAAACAAGATGACAAGTGTTGGCAAGGATGTGGAGAAAAGGCAGCCCTTGTGCAGTGTTGGTGGGAATATAAATGGGTACAGCTACTATGCAAAACAATATGGAAATTCCTCAAAAAATTAAAAGTAGAACTACCATACAATTCAGCAATTCCATTTCTGGGTATTTGTCCAAAGAAAACAAAAACACTAATTTGAAAAAAATACATGCATCTCTATGTTTATTGCAGCATTATTTACAATAAATAGCCAAGATATGAAAACAACCTAAGTATTTATTTATTCCGCCATTAAAAAAGGAATGAAATCTTGCCATTTGCAATAACATATGTGGACCTTGAGAACAGTAGGCTAAGTGAAATAAGTCAGACGAATACTATATGATCTCACTTATATGTGAAATCTAAAAAGAAAAATAGGTGAAGGAGGTCAAAATGTATAAACTTCCAGTAAAATAATAATAATAGTAATAGTATATTATATTTGAATGGGGTTTGTTCCGGGTATGCAAGGTTGGTTAAACATTCAAAAATCATATAGCCACATTAACAAACTCTTAGTGATGAAAAATAGGCTGGCAAATGGTAACATTTCTACTCACATTAAACCAGCTCACCAAATAGTCACGGCCATAGCTGGACAATGATATATATCTAAGATGATGAAACGTATGCAGTGGTCAAACAGATGATATAATCAGATATAATCAGATGCCAAGAGAAAGAGCTGGAAGAATCTGCACTTAAACATGTTCTTTCTCTTGCGAACCTGCCAATCAGATAAACCCCTCAGAGGGGGCAAAGAAAGGGAAATATTGATCCAGTGCCAGTTTCTGCCACATAGAAGCATCAGTAGTAGAGAATAAATACTCTCACAATACTCCTAGGATTGTGATTTTTAATATTTACGTTTTAAACTACTGGTCTCTGCAGTAAAATCTGAAAAGGAGGAGGGATGATAGAAATAGGTAGACTTGTATTATATATTTAGAAAAAACCAAGATATAATAAACATTAAAATTAATAAAAATTTAATAGGTGGTGCAACAGTAATAATTTATATTCTATATAAAAACAACTCCTAAAAACATAAAATGTGTTTTTAAATCTAAAGCGTCATTGAAAAAATAGCGAAAGAATAAATGCCCCAGAATAAATTGAAAGATTTGTGTTAAAATAAATTACTTGGAAATAAAAATTCTTACATAAATGTAAACCATGTTCCTGGTTACAGAATTACTTAGTTAACATTATTTGTAAAAAGCATTACAAAGTATAAAGTTATCTCCATCTCAACCTTGATCTCCCTCTAATCTGTTCACCACACCAGCCAGAATGACCTTTTAAAACTGTAATGTAGAACGTATCACTCACGTCCTTAAATTTTTCCAGTGGCTTCCCGCTGTTCTGAGAATAAAATCGAAACTGCTCACCATGTTCTTTCTATTCAGTGCTTCACGACCTGCTCCTTGGTTGTCTTTCTAGCTTCCATCATGTCACCACTCTGCCTTGCTCAGAACACTTGACCCACACTGACCACAAACCTGCTCCTAGAACACACTGTTTGCCTTGAAGCCTTTGTTCTTTTTGGGCTTCAGCCCAAATCTAACTTCATTCAGAGGGGCCTTCTCTGGTAACTCTGTCTAAATTAGTCCTTCCCGATGAGTTCCTACCAATCATGTGGTTTTATTTTGATAGCATTTGCTACTACTGTTGAATGTCACAGAATGAATGTTGAATGTCAAAACCATAAAATAATGTATGTACCAGATCAGTACACTTTTGTTATCTTTTCAACTTAAGACTTATGTTATTTATGTAAATACTTATGTAAATAATGGTATTATTTATTCAAAGACAAATAAAAGTAAATAAAATTGTAAGAACACAATGAAGGATAATATTTTCATAACCTCAGGGTAGAGAACCAGAAAGTTTTCTTTACACACCTGTCTCCTAGCCACCCAGTTGCCCTCTCTGGAGGTCTCTCTTGTTTCTGGTTCTTTTGTATCTTCCATGGATATTTTAAAAATACGTATGCAAATTTGTGTTTATAGATAAATAGATAATTGCTAGCTAGAAAGACTTTTTTCTTTTACCCAATTGATAGCCAGGAGTGAATCACTGAATCTAGGATTCAGCAACTTCTTTATCAATTAGAATGGATTTCCAAACTTTGTGTCAGCTCTGTCCCATTGTACCAGGGTTCTTAAATCTAAAATTTCATTTTACAATTAAAAAAGTAATCTCTTTCTCTTTTCCTTCCCCCCTGTTTCAGTATACACAGATTTTAAAAGAAAGACTGAGAGATTCGATTCATGATGTTCAGTATGTAGAGCCTCCATTTGATGATTCAATTGCTGATCTAGGTAAAGAATGGAAGAGTGCCCTGGCAAAATTAAAGTTTGCTAATTCATATAGAATGGAGCCATTGAAAAAATTCCAAGCTCATTCAGTAGAAACTAAAGCCCAGCAGATATTAAAGGTAGGTTGATAAATACATATGATAGCAATATCTTAGCTTTGGGGATTTGATAAACTGTATTAAGATTTATGGCCATATGTTTCATTGATTTTTTGTAGCATTTATCTCTGAAAATATGAAAGTACTTTGTAGTCATACTCAAGTATACTTCACATTGATGCTGTGAGCTAGATTTAATTCTTTTGTTATTTCAACCATTAATTAACCCGTAATTATCCAAAAATTATTTATCCCTCAGGTTTCATGTTTTCCCATATTTGGAGGAATGAGTTAAAACACACTGACTCTGTATATGGGTGTGAAAAGGTGGTTCCTGGACGCTAAAGCATTTAAGGACAGGCAATTGCCAACACATGCACAGGTCCCCTTCCTTAAACTGACTGGAATCTGAAAGTCATTTAAGACACTTGTTTCCAGGCTAGTCCAAAAAAGCTTCTTCAATTTTATAAAACACTGTAAGACTAATATTAATACCAACATTATTTATACTAGTGTTGGTATCTGAAGGCTACATTGTTCAGATGGAAAGAATTCCTTCATCATCTTCCTTAAAGGACAAAATTAAAGTTTTTTATTTATAGAAAATTTGAGGGACCACTTCTTCTGAATCACCTTTTCATCTGTGGTCTCTAGTGCTGGGCCCCAGGCACCCAGGCATTTTCTGATGGCCACATTCCCCTGTGGGACTCCACCAAGCTTGAGTCTACCCCAGATATGTTTCTGGTTTCAAAGTTCCCTCCCCCTTCAGTTTACCAGGTGCATTCTTTCAGTAACAACTGATGTGAGCTAGGTGTTGGGAAGAAAGCATCTCTTTAATTTATTTTGTATAAATTAATACTCTTTTAATCATATCAATTAATTATTTAAATGAATTAACTTTTATTAATACAGAAGAATATTTAGGAGGCCTACTCTAGCCTCCCTCTACTACCATAGAGAGATACATTTCTAAGCTGAACTAATCATTGTCAGATGGCTCATGGCTTCAGGAAATAAAGAAATTCAACTCAATTTAATACAATAAAATAATTATTGATTACCTTCTTCTCTTATTTAAACACTAACAGCAAGCATTTGTGACATAAGAATATACATTTTGGTGTGTCTCTTACTTGGTCTTACCACATAGACTGAGTTCGGATTTATTGGATATAGTAGGATTTCAAATTGTATTTACATATGATAATTTACAGAATTGCATTGAGCGTGATGGGGCCTGGAACAGCTGATTGGATATGCAGGTGGATAGCTAGGCATCATAAAGAGGCCAGGGATTTTCCCTTGGGTTCACAGAAAATTCAACATAGTTCTAGGTGCAGAAATAGTCTATACTGCTGGAGCTTGTGGGTATCTTCCTATAGCAAGCACTCATTATTTGTTAAATAAGAGCATGTGGGTGGGCAAAGCCCGAGGTCTGTTAGGCAGATTCCAGAAGAGAGAGTGGATGTTGCTAAATGTCTGAAAGATAGAAACACAGCCAATGCCTGAGGGAAACAAATGCTTCTAGACCCAGTTTTAGGTCCAGCACCATTCTAGAAGGGAATCAAAACCAAAAAAAAAAAAAAAAAAGCAATATATTTGGTTTTACATGTCTATAAAATTAGCTGGTAGGAGCTCATTTGTTATCACAGGACCCAGAACCACGTTAATTCATCATTATCCAGGTAAGTCAAAGGTACCTGCAGTCTGCTCATTAGGTGGTCCAGTCTGCTTATGGGCTGTGGAAAAGCCTAGTGCCTCATGACTCACATCTGTCTCCCGAGCTGTGATTAATCCACAGCAGACATGGCGGGAAACTTTGGATCTCCTCCCCCTGGAGTCCACAGAGAGAGCAGCTAGAGAAGTGGCTTTAATTCAAGGACACTGGGGAAGACAGGAGTCACATAATACAGGCTCTTGTCCAGGAAACCCAGGCTTTAGGAAAACTCAAGTCTGAGTTTTAGCAAATATGGAAATAAGAGAAAGATTTCCTTCATCTACCTAAGCATTCCCAGAAGCATTGTTTTAAAATTCCCCTGTGTCTCCCCACTAGCTGTTCGAAAGGAAAACTTAACTGGTTAGGGGTTGGTAATGAAGAACAATTGAATGTAATTAAAAACCAAAATAAACTTTATTCAACATTGGTATTGAAATAAATTGGTAAGCACAACATTCATTTAATGTTATTTGGTTAGGAATGCATCTATTTTTTTTAAAGTTATATGTATTATTTAGATACATGTTTTCTTGAATTTTTATGTAGAAAATATTTGGTTTGAAAATTAAAATGTTTTTCCTATTTTTTTAAAGGAAAGTCTTAAAGATGTCAAATATGATGATAAAGTCTTCTCTCATTTGTCACTTGAGTTAGCAGACCGCATCTTGTCAGCAGTGAAAGAATTTGGGTATCACCGTTACAAGTTCATTATAAAAGTATTATTTATTCAAAAGACTGGTCAGGCGATAAATGTGAGTACCACACTGACCCAGCAGCTACCAGGCAGTGCTCCACAGTGTCCCCTCTAGTGACCTGAGAGTTCTGTGCCACCTGCCTCCACGGCCCCCAGGCGCCTCTCTGACAAAGGATGATTTTGTTAACTATATCTTCCTTCAGTGCTTATTATTTGAAAAGTACTAACCCAGAAATGGCAATTTTCTATTGATAATTTATTAAACTATATGGCTATCCTATTCCTTGATCACACTAATTTTGACAATTTAATGTCATTTGATAATTAACCAGTAAATTTATTTTGAGCACTAATGGGAGTTAGGTTAGGTACTGAGAAAAGGAAAATGGGGAGACGCAGACCATGATTCTCCAAGAGTTTATACTGTACTTGAGGAAAGAAAACAATGCAGGTCAGCGTTTAAGAAATGGAATGGGATGGACAGTGGTACAGCTTAGGTTTCCGAGTCTGGCTGACCTAAACGGGAATGCTGGCAGCGACAGTTGGAGCCTGCGGCCGGGGCATGGCTGTTTTCATCTGTAAAACGGAGATGGTACACCTAAGGGCTGCAGCTACCCCGAGGGCTAAATGAGCTGGTCTGAAAGAAAGCCCTCTACGTGGTCTCCGGCACAGAGGCCTCAGTTAGCAGCAAGGCAATCGTGGTCATTTACAAATATGAATAAATATGAATACACTAGACCCTGTGAGCTGGAGTGAGCTGCCCGTCAACACGTGGCAGCTGGTCACGGTCTGCAGTCTTTGTGGAAGCAGGCAGAGGGTTGCTGGCCACACGAGAGTCAGCAAGACGGAGGTGACCTTGGCACCCAGGGAGAAGAGAACACCAGCACATACTTCTCACGTGGAGGAGATTAGAGTAGGGCAGAGTGGCCCCTGGGACTGTCTGGAGCCAGGGAAGTCCCTCTGATATCTGAACGTCAAGAAGAAACCAGCTGTGCCAGAGACCCGGGAGAAGGACTGGAAACCAGAGAATGCAGGAGTGTAAAGATGCCGTGGCAGCAGGGAACCTGGTGTGCTTGGTTAGTAACCTGCGTGCTTGCCGTATATTTCGGTAGCACACATGGGTGATGGTACCGTACAACAAACCACCCCAGAGCTTAGCAGTGTAAAACAACAGCCGTTTTTTATCTGCTTGTCATTCTGCGGGTCAGCCCAACTACAGCAGCTGCTTTTCCTGCTGGTCTCCCTGACGCGCTCGCCGTCCCACATGGCCTCGCTCACGTGTCTGGTGGCTGGTGCTCGCTGTTGGCTGGGGCTCCTGGGTTCTGCACGTGAGCCACCATCCTCCAGTGGGCTGAGTGGCTTTCCTTATGTGGGGGTCTCCTCAGAGCGTTCTGAGCAGGTGGGAGCAGAAGACCTCTGAAGGCTTTGCTTGGAAGTCACACAATGTCCCATTCTTTTGCTCAGAGCAAGTCCCAAGACCAATTCATACTCAAGGGCTAGAGAAATAGACTTACCCTCTTGGGAGAAACCACAACAGGTTTGTGGCCATTCCTATCCACCATGGAAAAGTAGGCTGCACTCAAATCACTATGACTTTGTGAGCTAAGCAAAGGATTTAGAATTTTCTCTAACGGTCTGCTGGATAATCCATGCCATTTCTATATTTCAAAACAAAGTTCTAATAAACTTTCCCTTGAACATATTTTAAGGATGGAAAGGAGAATTCCATGTCAGGGAGTGTAACACAGCGGAGTAGTCCGTATGCAGAACTCTTAGACCCAGGTACAGGGCGTTCCCGGCTCTGCGCCCAGACACTCTGCTAAGGTCCAGTCCCCGTGTCAGAGAAGGACCACTCCAGGAAAAGAAGAGGGGCCCTTTCAGGAAAGGGGGGATTGGACAAACTACTATTTAAATATCACTTTCTGAGATACTGTATAGACTTAAAGTTTACTTCTTAACATGTTCAATTTAAAGTTGGTCTTTTGAAATTTGTGTATCACAGATTGCCAGCAGATGGATCTGGGATGTTGCCTGGGACAGCTGGGTTGCGGTGAAACAGGAAACAGAAACGTATGTCGCCTTGGCCCTGGTGTTTGCTCTCTATTGTGAATAGCTCACTACAAGTGATGGGAGTGCTTGCTTCTCAACTTTACCAAGATCTGTGACTTTGAAGATTTGCAAATTTCATAGTAGTCAGCCATGCTTTTGCCTCCAGCTGAAGATCCATTGTATTCTTTTAACAACAAACAAGTAAAAGCCAGATTTTTACCTTCATACTTACTAGTTATCATATTTATTAACATGCTGTGACCCCAAAGTATAAAAGTATGTACGAAACATGGAAGGATAGATAGAGTATATAAATGCTTATAGTGGGTGCTAATACAGGGAAATCACTCATCATTCTTTTTAGAGTTAAGACAATTAGAATTTGCTACAGGAAATTATGACACAACAGTGTCAAGTAAATGTTAAAATAGATTTTGGAAAACTTCTGAAGGCAGTTGTATTTTTAAATGGCATTTTAATACGTTGTAGGCATTCTTTGGAAAGTAATTACCAAGTTTGAAATAAAGACATTAATGTATTTAACACATCCCTAACCAATCAAAATGCTTAACGTGTGGTCGTTCTTTTTGTTAGTCTGTTAGTTAAATTCTTTTTAGGTGCAAGAACTGAAAAAGCTAAACCAGTGGGGTTTTTTTGTTTTGTTTAGTTTTGTTTTTTAAAAGTAGACTTTTGTTTTCCAGGCATTTGATCAGGGACCCAGGTTTTTTCTGTCTTTCCCCTTCCCCCCCAGACTTTTACATACATTTGTTTAACTTGATATAATTTAATCACGTTCCTGTCTATGACTAGACGGGTCATAGTTCACTCCTTGGGGCTGGGGCTGCATCCCCCCTTTGTTGGAGCACATGGCCAAATGAAAAGAGTAGACACGACTATCAGTCAGAGGTCTTCCAGCAAGAAATCAGGGGGTGGGCTTGGAGGAGGCAACCAATAATGTCTGTGATCAGATGAGTTGTAATCAGAACTTGGAAAACCATGTCAAACTTAATGGATGGTTAAAATGGCCATTAGTTGAATAGTCCAAAGACCGGAATGTAGAAAGGTCGAGGAGAGTTTTCTTTTCACTTATGTGTTATCATGAGCTGGATAATCCAGGACAAACAGGTCCGTGCTGCGCAGCATAAACATGGTCATTGTTGCCCAAAGAATCCTCAACATGGGAGTTCTCAGTTGTGAACTGTGGCTGCCAAAAAAGTGGTAGTGAGCCTGTGCCACAGCTCGTGTTAAGCAATGCACCTTCCTGCTGAACTTGCAGGATTCATTAGTTGTAAAGAGTATGGCCTCCTAGAACCGTTTGTGAAGTGAGAATGAGACCTCCTAAGGCTAGCATGTGAATTATGAGACGTAGTAAACAACCAAGCACTTGTGCCCAGCACTTCATAGAGCCCTGGACCTTCCTACGTCCTAAAATGTGACCTGTTGGTATTACCTGATTTGAGGTCTCGGAAGTACCTTCCGCTCTGCTCTTTCTCTTGCTTTCTCCAACTCTGTACACACTTCGTTGTTGAATTCCATACGAGTGACTCAAATCCTCCCCTTTCCTCCACCGCCAAGTCTTGTCTGGCTTTGCTGCAGTGCCCCTTTCATCCGTGTGTTCATTTAGCTGTTTTGTTCGGCCACATTCTGGGTGCCCCATGTCCCAGGCACTGTGTGAGACGCAGGGTGTGGAGCAGGGCCCTTGCCTCAGCAGGCTTCCATTGTGGCGAGCGCACCTCAGGAGGAATGGGGAGCACACCCTTCTTTGCCTCCCCCAGAACATTGGTGGTGCGTCCGTCTGGAAGGCATGACCCAGGTCATGTCACCCCCGGTCCAGGTCCTCTCAGTCCTCAGTCACCTTCTGAGTTAAAACACACTCTTCTGCTTACTCTTACGGGTCTGATTCTCCAGGGAAGAGAACTGCCATTTTCTGAGGTTTGATGGATTCCAGGTGCATGTGAACATCTCTAACCCAGCAGTACTTCTTACTGCTGCCCCCACTTGACCTCCCCTGTCATCAGTCACCTTCGATGCCCTCCTTTGTACTTTCATCCAGTCTCCTGCACATTTCTGTTTGGGCCTCCCTCCTACCACAAAGACCCCTTCCCACCTCTCCTCCTCCAAGTTGTGTGGAGGCTTGTACCAAGAGAGCCTCTGCCTTGCAATCAGCCATGTCTTCCTGCTCCGCCACGGCAGCCGCTTCACTGTGAGCCTGCAGAAGCCACAGGACTATCCTGAACCAATTTCCCAGTGTCCTTAAGGAATCATAAGGACGAATCACATCAGATATGACGCAGATGTTTGCTTCAGCCACTAGAGAAATCTGCGCGTCCCTGATCTGACTTCCTGCTTCTCAAAGCTTTTCAAGTCAGGTTAGTGACCTTCCTCTGCAGGCCCCACAACACTCCTCTACATTCCCAACCTCTCCTCCAGAGGTATTTTGAGTCTCTTTCCTTAACAAGGACTTGGCTTGTCCCCTCAGAAGAGTCCCTGTTCTCTGAAAGGTAGGTATATGCAAAGCACCCTCCAAAGGAGCCATAAGAGCAAAGAAAAAGGCCAAGTCCAGCCTAAGGAGAAATGGTTTGTTATGGGGACTTGCAGACAGAAGTGGGTCTTGGGTGGCAGTGATGGCTAGATCTCTAAAACCCCACCTTCCCTAAGACCTGCTTTTTCAGCCCTGGAGGGTGGGCGTACCTGTGGGGGACCAGTGAGGGGAGAATGGTGAAGAATCGCTGTGTGTCATAGTCCTATCTCCAAGGCAGAGCAAGCCCGTCAGGCCCCGACAGTGTGGCTAAACAGGGTGCGCTTAAACAAAGGACAGCCTGGGGTGGGGGCTGTGCTCCAGAAGGTCACAGAGTGGTCATCATGGCGGGTTTGTCCAAGATGACACCAGTCTCGTTTGCACAGCCCCACTACAGCCCCTCAAGTAAAAGCTGTTTTTCCTCTCAGTCCTAATGCAACCCCTTGGGCCTTAAACACTCCAACTCCTGGCAAAACACGCGGTGGGGATTCATAGCTTTTCATGTCTGTGTGCCGCTACTGCCCACAGCCCCTGGCTTGTTCCTTCTCATCACTTGAAGACAAGAGCTAGGGGACACCAGCCCCCAACTCCATTGACTCCTGCTACCATTCTTTGTGACTTCGATACCCATACAGATAACTGTCCAGTAAGGCAGTCCCCTGCCTGGGCACGGTTCTGGTATGAACAAATTTTGATTGCCAGAGTCTAGTAAAGAAACACCAGTACCCCAACAGCATGACTCAAATTTCAACTACTCTGCTACACTGACCGAGCAAGTACATCAAGGACAGACCTCACAGCCAGTGCTCAGCCCACAAATCACCACACCGATGACCCCCACGCATGGGTCCTCCTCTCAAGGCCCATCAGGGATTGGTCACTGCGCCCCAGTTATTCAGTGCTTCGGGCCACAACACAGACAGCAAAGTGTGTAGCTGTGTTTCCTCCTTGTCTCCCAGTGAGAGACCCACAGGATGTTTCACAAAAATGGACTATAAAAAGAAAATTCCGTTTTACATTAAAATTTTGTGTTACAATGTTTGACAAAAAAGTTGAAAGTGCATCAAAGAAATAAATGAGGAGCTAAAAATGAAATTGGACGTGATTAGGAAATTTGAAAATGACAAGAGTGAAGCCGAGACAATGAGACCTCAGCCTGCCCGAAGGTACTGTCCAACAAGGAGAAAGAGCATGGTCACGTTGGATCAACATCTTTTAAACTGCTCTAGAAACAGAAAACTGCGTGTGGTCAACAAGACTTCCATCTACTTTGGATAGAAGACGGTCATAATAATGACAAATCCCATTGGGTCTGGCTAGCGTTCAGGCCAAATGTCGACGTTAGTTGTCACATCAAAAGAAAACTGTAATTACAGAGAGACTGAAAAGCAAGCTTTTACTGCAGTGAAGTCTGGTTTTCCTTTCAGAGACCCATGGGGTTGGTTAGTGTTGAGCTCTGGTTAAGCTACTGGGCCAGACCAGGCGCTGCTGGGAAACCTGCACCCAGATTGCACAGATCAGTTAGAGCAGGTGGTTGTGACAAAGGATGAAGAGACACTGATGATAACTTCACGTTAAGGACACCTGGAGATATTTTACTGAAAATGCCAAACATCAAATGCTGGAAGGAGCATGACAATTTATCAAGGCACAAAAAAGTTTAAGTGATAGTAGGAGAAGGCATGCACTGTTCAAACTACTCTTGGTAAAGATTTTACACAGAAATAAAGCACTAATTCTCAGTGTTTTTTGTATTTATGGTGTACTAACATTAGTTTTACAATTAAAAAAATTCTCTGTACATTTATAAATGGCAGTAAGGGAGTTTTAAATGTTTTACCAAAAGTTTTGGGCAATTATAAATTTTCTGATTATTAAGATGACTTTGCATGGTCTCAGCTTCTGTGGTCATTTTTACAGTCCTGTGCTCTCATGAAAACTAGGAAGTCTGTGCTCTAGCTTCCTGATTTCTTGACCAAGTCACATTTGGTGACCTTTTCCTCTAGCCCACCTTGGTCATCTCCTCCTTGATTCAAACTGTAGACTCTGCTGTCATCAATAGCAGTATGACCTCTCAAATGTCGGACTCAAGCAGGTTATTTTTATACCATCATTTTCTGTCCGTAGGGCTCAGCACCTGTAGAATCTTACTGAAATCTCCAGTCGATGCAATAACCCATTTTATAATCTCTCCCTTACAAACACACTCAAATTCCTTTACCCCTCTTACTTATCTGGGAAAACCCCTTCCTGAAGGAAACGCATATTCATAGCCTGAATTCAAGTAGCTAAATTTGAGAAGATGGAAAAGCCAGACCGACTGGTTTCCCTTGAAGCTCTCCACCAAAAACCTGCAGCAGGCAAACCATTTGGCATCCTAGGAACTTTGCTCTCCTGCCTCGCCCCACTACCTTCTTATTCCTCTCCTCTCCTCACTTCCATGGGTGGTTTCACCTCCTGTTTCATTCAGGAAAGAAAAAGTATCGGAGGAAAATCTTTCCAGTTTTTCACCACCACGTCTCAATGCATCTGCAGCCACGTTCTGTTTTCCGTCTTGTCACAGTGGATAGACTGTGCTTCTTGCTGTCAAGGGCTCGCCCAGCACCTGTGCTGGCTTCTGGCCTTCCCAGAGCTGCCTCCCTAGCTCCTGCGCGTGATGCCCCCTCTGCTCCCCCTCCTTGGCATTCAAGCTTGTTCCCCTGTGTCCCACCTTAAAGACAACAACCCACTTCTCCAGCTACCTTCTTTCTCAGATACTTGGCACAAACTTCACGTATTAACCTCCCACTCCCTCCTCAAGGGACTTCAGGTTGCTTCTGAAGTTGCCACTCCTTAGAAACAGCTCAAAATAATTAAGTTTGCTCATTACCCCCAGATTGCTAAATACAATGGACATTTCTTTGTCCTCATCTTATTCAACCTCTCAATTGACGTAGTTGACCGTCCCTCTTTTTGAAACATTATCTTCTCGGTTTACAGTATCTATCACTTAGTTTCCTACTCCTTTTCCACTTATTTCCAACTTAGTACGTAGTAAGGTAGTATGCGATGAATGAATGAATGATTCCTTATATTTCTATCACCTAACATAATTCTTAGTTCATAGTTGCTTTTCATAAAATATTTGTGAAATAATTGGATGGACATTATTATTTAAATCCTACAAATGAGGAAATGGAGTTTCAGAGAGATTAAAAACTTAACCCATTATGGATCACACAGCTATTAAGTGGCACAGTTGGTACTGATCACAATCTTATCTCATTTATTTTTTTAAGAGAGGGAGGAGGGAGGGGCAGAGGGAGAGGGAGAATCCCAAGCAGGCTCCACACTGAGAGGGAAGCCCCATGAGGGGCTGGATCTTACCACCCTCAGATCAAGACCTGAGCCAAAATCAAAAGTCAGATGCTCAGTCGACTGAGCCACCCAGGTGCCCCCACAATCTTAACTCTTGATCTTTGTTCTCACCATTGCATCATGCCACTGCCCTGTATATTTCACCCCTAACTCCTGGAATCTGCCTTCATTTACCCTACTCTCAACCCACACTGGAATGGCTGATGTGCCTAAATCTGCTTCTTATTTTTTCATCTTTTAGTCTTTTTCAGGCTTGAAACCCTATTTCCACTTCCAATTGTACATTGACCTGGAATTGTCCTACCCCAGTCTCTTAAGATACTTTTCAAATTCTATGTCAACCTTAAAATCTTAACTTTTGTACTTGCAAGTAAATTTTTCCCCACCTAAACTGCCTTTAAATACATTTATATATTTGTGTCATATTCTTTCAGTGTTGAAACTGGACAGGGATTGTAATCCACAAGAGTGTCTCCTTAATATTCTGGCTTGCCTTGCATCTGGAAGGGCTGAGTCGGTATCTGTTGACTTGGAATGAAGAGTTTTAAACTTGCATCTGATCTAGAGACAGAACACCCGAGGGAAGAGAGTGGACCGAAATAAATGAATGTATATTCTGAATATATATGTATGTATGTTAGATCTTAAATTCCATCTAAAGAATCTGAGTAAGGGCCCTGATCCGTTAAGAGAATTTGGGAGAAAGTTGTTGATTCTTCTTGGTGGATTCAGACAGGCTATTTTCTTCAGTGGGTAGGGAAACGGGAAGCTGGTCTGACTGAGGTTGTGAGCCAAAGCAAAGTTTAAATTAGGAGCCCTTTGTGAGTCTCCAGCTATTGGTGCCATTTCTGAGCTGATGGGAATGGAAAGTCAGGAATAGGTGGGCTGGGAGAGTCAAAGTAGGTCCTTTATCTCTTTACTTCTCCTTTCCAAACGTTTGTTGGCTGAGTGTAAGCAAAAATAATGAAAGGGAAGTCACGTGTCTATTGCCTGAAGCAAGTCCTCTACACCCTCAGATACTAAAATGTCTGCTGAGAGGTCAACTGCAACAAATTTCTGGTACCCTTGTCATCACAACTATCTGCCACGTTCTTTTAAGGTTCAGTTGCTGACGTGTGTGAGAAATCCTAGAAGTGACCAGGTGAAGTCTACCAACTTACAGTCAGTCCACATAAAACGCTTCCCATTCCGTCGGTGTCTTTTGTCAGCCTACCATTGGACTATGACCTTTGCAATAATCCTGAGGATTCAGGATTTCGCCCCACTTTACAGATGAGACGAGAGGCCCAGAGAGGTCAGGAGCGGCCCCAGCGCAGCAGCCTTAGGGAGCTCTCCCTGCGGGCCCGGACCACCTGGCTGCCTTCTAGGGTCTCAGGTGCAGGCTGCTGCACATTGCACCGCAAAATGACGCGCATGCAAGCTGAATCTGAGCCGTTCTCACACCGCACGATCTCCACAGGCAGGGAGGTGGATGTGCATAAACTTTTCAAATGAAAGCAGCGGAGGATGTCGCTGACTGGCTCCCTGGCAGGTGGTTCAGGAGCGGCGGAGAGCGTGAGGCCGCCGGCAGAGAACAAAGGCGGCCGAGGGGCGGTGGCCGAGGACCGAACGCGAGGAAATGGGCAGGGGCCATCACAGCCCCCCCGCGATACAGCCCACGGGGCCGGTGCCAGGACGCGGGGACCCCCGGGGGCAGGGGGTGGGTCCCTCGGGATTGAGGGGGAGGAGGACAGGGACCCTTGGGAGAAGGGGGGGAGGAGGAGGAGGAGGAGGAGGGTCTCTCGGGTG